CTGGAACAGAGCCCTGGAGAGAGCAAAAGTGCCGCACTTTTCCGTTGCTCCTCTGGTGGTTGCTCTGTGGAACCTCTTTCGATCCGGGCCATCCTTTACCATATTCTCAGTTTTCAGGTGGGGAGGGATGGCAGATGTTGTAGCCACTGGTGAGTCCAGCTGAGCTGGGCATCAGAGGAGCTCTCAGAGTTGGCACGAATGCTGTGAGGAGCATGAAGCCATCCTCCGCCTTCTCTTGGGGTGACCAGACAAGCTGAGTAAACACAAACAGTCGAGCACCAGAAGTGGAAGGAAGGGGGGCATGACCGCGCTGGAGCTCCTTGCTCCTCCAAAGACACAGGCTTCTCCTGGCTGACATGAGCAGCTCTGTTAAGAACCAAGTCATTGTCTACTTGCGGCTCTAGTTGGGGACTGGGGTTCTGCAGGAAAAGACTGATCAGTGGTTAGAGCACAGAACTGGCTACTTGACTATACTAGCCTCTACTAGTCTTGGGAGCAATCGGCTGCTTTAATACAGATGCCCACCCGTCCTCTATGTTTAAATTCTATGCATGGGTTAGTGCAAAGCCTGTTGGTATGACAATGGATTCTGTGTGCGCGCTTGTGCATATTTACTCTTTTTGCTTGTTTCTTCTAAAATTTATTGAGAAATTAGATGATAATAATCTAATAGAAGGAAGGAAGTAATTTGTATGGTGGAGCCAGGAAAAATCAGCAAGTGTTCTTCATGATGGCCATAAGCCAGGATGATGCTGAGCTGGTGGCTGAGGATCCAAAGGTGGTTGTGCTCCTACTTCCTGGCTGGGGGAGTGGGGTGGGGCAGGGAGGGTCTGTTAGGCCCTGTTGGTATGTCCTTTTGGCTTACTTTCTGTGATTTATTATTTTATTTCAGTGGTGAGGATTTTTTCCCTTCCCTCATAAAATGAGAAAACAAAATGTTTGGGGAGTTGCATTAAAAAAAATAACCAAGGGGTTGAAGCACTTTATGAACAGAATGAAGTCTTGTTTTTAACCCATTCCTACTCATTTGATCAATGGCTCCCTCCTTTGTACTCCCCAGAATGAATTGAACAGCCTCTTTGTATGTTAAAAAAACAACAGCAAAAATGTATGGTCACATAACTAATAAAGGGATTTTTTGGGCTGTCAAGAGATGGCTAAAATACCCAGTTTTGCTTTTAAATGGGGATATTTTGGATATATTTTCCAAAAGCTGACATAGCTGTAGCTTCCTTCCTTCATTCCAAGTATAAACAAAGATGGCCTTCTCATTACTGACCTCCAACATCTGTCATCCCTGGCCAGCATGACATTATTTTTTGGGGGGGGAGACACTGGGAGGGCCTTACTCCAGTTTATCATTAAAGCTCTTTTTTCAGGATGAGTGGGGACTGTTACAGCTGGAGACCACCCTCTTCCAGAGAAGAGCAAGGGAGAAAATCCCATGAGTCTTCTGCCTGGCTCCTCACAGACCCCTGTCCCCCTCTGGTCCTTGAAATGGGTGGATGACACAAGGCTATGCTTGTAGGCAGAAGGGTGTGAGAGAGGGGTGTCTTTGTCAGAGGCAATAAATAACCTTCTGCAGTGGTAGGAAAGAGATTTGGAAGACCAAGCAACATCTAAGCCTGAGTCCTTGGATCATGACCAAAAACTCCATCTCTGAGGCCGCCAAGAATCCAGGCATTAGCAGAAAGGGGTTGGGGCAGAAGAGCGCCTTGGGGCACTGCTACCTCCCCGGGGCTTCTCTGATCAATCCTGAGCCCAGCCCACCAGGCCCTCAAAGAAGCAGGGGAAAGCTGGATCTCTGTTGAGGGGGCTACCTGCTTGGCCAGGAGGCCACATGGGACTGCTTTTTGCTGGAAATTCTCTTTTCCATGTGAGGGCTCAGCAGAAAGCCCCTGGAGGGTAGTTGAAGCCACAGGGCAGGGCCCTTGGCCAGTCCTGCTAATCCACCCCCTTCATGAGGATGGGCTTGCCAGTGGAATTCAGAACTAGAGTGATGGGGCGGTTGCCCTGACCACCAGAGAGGAAGGGGAAGATACAGCAATCCAGAAGGCTGGTACCCTCCACTTCCCTTCCAGGATGTCTGCTGGAAGAAAGCAACAATGAGAAGAGGGGCTTGATCCAGGCAACATGAAATGGGATGAGGAGAGATTCTGCCAGCTTTGCAAGAGTCAGAGGGGATGGGATGGACATCACAAAGATATGTTTAGGTCATTGCACAGCATGATTCCACTTTGGTGGGATTCTTCTGAGGGATGCTGAGTACCTCTTCCCTCCTTAGGCCTAACAGGAATGGCTTGAGCAGCAGAGAGTAGAAGGGCCAGTGGCAGTGGTGAGCACTTGCCAGCTATGGCCCACTTCTAGCCAGAACGGCTGCTGTAGGCGTCCTCCCTACAGGCCGCTGCGTTGCAGACATCCAGTTCAGCTGATGGCTCTTCTCTTGGTGTTAGGCCACGGTCTGGAGATGCTGGAGCTTGAACCCTGCCTCGGAGTCTCGGGCTGCTAAGCAGCTGCTCCTCTGCTGCTCCCCTTGGGGAGGGGAAGGAGGTCCTCCTGCCCTGCACCTCACGGGGAGAGAGAGGGCCCGCTATCAGCAAGCGGTAGCTGGTCCTGGTCCTGGTCCTGGTCCTGGTCCTGGTCCTGGTCCTGGTCCTGGTCCTGGTCC